TATCGAACACATATAGACGAGAGCGAAATGTATACGACCATCCAATTGGTGTTACTGACAACCGTACCGTTATATATGATCGCTTTAACCGAATAATGGCTAAACTGACCCAATGAGTCCCCAAAACCCTCATCTGGTACACCGCTCATCAGACGGAACACACAGGCGAAAAGCGAATGACTTGTCATTTGCGGCTGCACCACAGCGAACTGCAAATTCGCAGAAATCCTCAATAGAAATTAAAGAGTTCCCAGTCCAGCGTTAGTGTAAGGTGACCACCGCTGACATATACCACCCACCAGGATTCACAGTATTCCATGAGGAGAAAGCCATTCGGGCCCTCTAAAATCGAGTATGTTGAGATCACATCCTGATCGGAGAACTAGGGACAAACCGAAATAAGGGCGCGAAATTATTAAAGATTTAGTGACAATCGGTAGATGTATTGCTGGGCAAAGTTTCACTATTCGTACGAAAGCTTCGACAGGCAAAGTGAATAGGTTACGATGTTGGTCGAGTTGGAGAACGAATCAGATGAATCTCTGTTAGGTGTCGACCGGGGGATTTTTATGTAAGTGTAGCTGACACAATTGTTGGGCTAAAGGGGAACCTACGTAGATCCAGCCGAAGTCCTAGTTCTTCTGGTTCGATTCGAGTGCTATTCTCTTTCGAACGTCGTCTGCAATTTACATCCGTCTGTGTGGAATACTAGCGTTACGGTAGTTGCGTGAGATGAATTCGACGAACTTTGGTCGGTTTGGAATTTTAACCATCCACCGCTGTATCTGCTAGTGCTTCTACGTGCTATGAAAACCACACACAGTCACTACCAAAGACAGCTCTTCACAGGCTCCGAGTTACACAGCCTAGCGGTGCTCCACTAATGAACTGTTTTTTTTAAAGTAAGTATGAAGACTATACAAGAGACGTGGTCATTTTTATCGTGGTATCATTTTATCCGCTCCAATAATGCACCTTATACTGAGGCGGAAGAGATGGCACACCTCAGGTGCATTATTAATCACTTTTTTGCGAGCACTGAAATGCAGATCTACGAACCACACCATCTACGAAGATTTCCTGCACAGATGCAAAATTCTGACCGCGCTGACGGTGACTACCTACCCTAATGCTCCATTTTTCCTAAGAAAAATATTATCACAGACATTGTTTTCAAAAATGCTCGCATCGTCGCCTCCCATAGCGGCATATTTGCTTGTATTATGTTAAAGAAGAAACTGAAAATCCTGCCTATACGAACGAACCAAACATGACTGTTGCGTCAAAATTATCACAAGCATTCACTCACCATAAACAAGCGAAATGTCTCACATGACCCAAAAGCTATTGAGCAGAAACTATAACGACGCAATTCATCGACCGCTGAATGACGGTTCCGCAATTTGGGGCCTATGTGGTAGGCACCGACAATGAGTTCAGGTTAACCGTATGTTCTACCTACAAACAAATTCCACAACAATTTAGCGAAGTGCACTCATTTGCAAACACATCTGAATTTGCAAGAGACTCATCAGCATTGCACTGCAGCTCTTCGAATCAAATCAACTACGACGACTTCCCGCAACAGATTTGAAATCTTGACCGCGCTAGATTTTTTAAAATAATATATCAACTCCCTTGGGTAGTTATTCGACAGCCGAGGACCGGTTTCGACCTACTTGAGGATCATCCGTTAGGCGCAGTCCTCAAGCTTAGGATGACTTTTGATCTATCTGAAAACATGTTGCACAAAATTAACAAAATGAACACATTTGCAAACAGATTTTGAGTTTCGAGTGACTTGCCAAATGATTCTCCGGTTTGTGGCGTTTCCACACACCCGTATGTGCTGCACCATTGATTCTCTACTGAAAAGTTAGTACAACATTTGCCAAATTCAGTCACACTACTAACCTTTTTCAGGAAGCTCAGAAATGGAATGAAGTTCACACGATCTTTGATGTGCTATGTTGTGAGACACTGGTGGCGTCCTGAAGAGTTGCAATATTCAGGATAACGGAATGAAATCAAATGTGCTTAAGTAAACCTACTTCTGCCAGTCTTGTCAACAGATAAGGAAATTTCCCTCATGCAATGTAGCACCAATGATATGACGGAGGTTGCAGAGTCCGAACCTTGCAATAATGATGATGTGTGTCGAGGATTTTATCCTGCGTGGCAGATTTATAATCAGGTATTGTTATGAGGCGACATGGGTCGAATACCTGAAACCATATCTTGGTCCCCGATCGAGGTGCACAACATAGTCCGATGTGTAAAACAAGGATATCCCAGTTTGAGGACCGGTTGGATGCGTTTTAGAAACGACAAAGTGTCGACAAAAGCGTTTATATTTTCGGTATTAGAATAAGCACAAAGTTATGCGCGTTGAATGCCTGCAGTCATGTTCAATATTGTATTAGGCTACAGTAATCCTCCATCTAGTCCACCTAGGATATAAGTTTTATTCCGGTTAAATAAAGGCGAGTGTGACAGTTGGCAGTCTGGGGAAAGCCGACGCGCACTCATAGGTGAAACAGCCGGAAAATACCGACCAGTTGGGCTGGGCGCAGGCGCACATTACTAAGAGCATTTTCCAAAATGATTTTTAAACTTGTCGGTAGGGCAATTAAAATCGGGCTTCGAACATACTCGCTTCAAATGACTAAATCTGTCATGCTGCAATCAAACCGACGGGACAAATGGAGATGCTGCCAGCGTTGTCAGGAATGAATGCTACCAAATACTTTCACGGAATCTATTTTAGCGGGGAACGTGATCAAACTTGTCATTGTGGAACTGCATGGCAATGTGAATTAATCTGCGCATGTTGACGAGAGCAGTTTGGAAGAAAAGTAACCTGCAAAAAAAAGCCATCACGCCAGACATTATCAACCACCTTAGTTGACCCAATCGAAAAGTCATTCATTCAGCGTGAACATAGCAGTGCATAGTGAGTACTCAAGTTCAACTATTCTCGACCAAATAGTGCTGGCACGGAGGAAAAATATGGCGCTATATTCCTGTGAAATTGCTACAGCCTCGTCTCAGGCCGCGCGAAATGAAGTGCAGCATTGGGCGGCGGTGTAGATGTTTCCGCAGAATTCTGAAGTGTTCTCATGTACTCAAACAACTCCTCAACCGTGACCTTAGAAAAGACCTTTCTGCGCCCCCGTTATAGTGCACTGTTATACCGTGAATTTTATTGCGGGAAATGTGCAATGTAGTGGAGAGTGTGCGTGCTCAGCAGCTCAAACTCACAGTTCATGGGGTGGGATTTAGTTTGAACATATTTGAAAACATACTTGTGTGTGGTTTTGCGAGAGAGACATTTGTTCACTCGGTAAATTTCAAATTTGAATAAACTAGTTAGAAATCCATGAAACTCACACACAGAACCACTCCATGGCATTTATCGGCGAAGCCATTAGGCTCGCTTTTTCGTCTATATCAGTCACGCGCTTCCCCAATCAATTACGATTTTTTCACGTTCATTCACACACGCGTCTGCCTCATCCAGGCAGATTTACCAAGCGAAATATCTTGACCGCACTCAACTTTCAGTACTAACCTTAGGGGACAAAAACGCCAAAATTAGGTGACCCGTATCGGATTGGCGAAGAATGTCCTGCGGCCGCTATGTACGAGTCTCATATTGACCACCCACTTTACGCCGGATAGCACGACCAAAGTCACTCTTCTCACACCATATTGGATTGCTTTGTCATGCCGTTTGTTCACGTGAGATGCAATGTTAATTGCTTACGCAACAAAGACAACCATAGGCAGTGGAGCTTCAGTTCCCCTCCCACAAGTCAATAATAGCTCTACCAGACGTGCGCAATGACTTTGCAACCACTGAGAAAGACGAATGTTCTTCCACATAGTCGGAACCGTCCTCCGTGCCCTTCTTTAACAGGACACATTCTTCCATTTGTCTGCCTCACCGAGGACCCACATTGCTGCCCATACGCGTAATTTATCTCAACCTTATTTCTTTGCAATTGGTTTTCGGGGAGTGCGGTGTTTGGCTGGTTTGTATGGAGTATATGCTTG